GCAGTCTATTGAGAGAAGTGTGTGAAAGAATTGAACATGGTCATCTTATTTGTCATGTGTTATGTTGGTGTTTATGTGATTTTTGTTGTTCTTTTTGGTTTTGTGTTGTTGGTTGGTGCCTGTTTTGTATTGGTTTGTGTTTTTGTCTCAAAGCCAGTTTGTTGCTTGACATCGTGCTGGTAGAAGCGGTGCCTTTTGCTTGATGGTTTGCTCACTCCGAACGTTTTCAAGTGGGTCAATTTCTATCAGCCTTGTTGTCACTTTTGTCATGCAATCACTATTCGATTAGTACTTTTGACAGATTTTTCCCCAACCAGTGTGGGCACACTCAGGGGTTCTTACGGTAAGGGAAAGGCAGCTGATGCTTGGATCGCTGAAGCGCGCGGGCGTGTGCGGCTGATTCGCTGTTATTTACAGTGCATTCATGGTTCTCGACATCGTCCATGTGCACTTCGACTGCGCAGGCTCGCAGAATCTGGGTGGCTGGAGCATGTGCTTGTCGCGACTGCGCTCTCGTTGTGGCACCGTGCGCCTTTTCGCACATGGTGATCACTTTTCGTGGCAGGCGCAAGGGAAACCTCGTGTTTTGGTGCCGCAAAGTCGACTTTTCGTGACAGGCGCAAGGGATTGGAGGTGTTTGACTTCGAAGTGCAGTTTTTGTGGCAGGCGCAGCGCCTTGGACATGGTGGTGATCGTCAAGGAGCTCAGATTTCGTGACAGGTGCAGTGAATCGTGACTTTTGGATATTTGTCTCGTTTTCAAATTTCGTGGCAGGCACAGTACTCTGTGACCCTCGACTCATTCTCCCACTCTCACTCACACTCACACTCCCTCTCATCCACACTCACTCACACCCACCTTCACTGCATCACCACCATCACCTCTCTGCACCCCAATGCGTCTCGATCTCTAGACTTTCTGCTTACAGACCTCACACACACTGTTTGGGGTCTCTTGCGGGGATATTTTTTCCGTGGAACACTGTGTATTTTTCTGGGAACTTTGTAGATAGCTCGCTCTGCAGTGCTACGGTTTTCACCCTTCGAGTTCAACATGCCACTTGTGTTGTCGTGGCCCGGCTTTGGCAAAAACAGTTTTTATTGATATACTTCTCCAGGGTCGGTGTTTCGGGAGAGGTCCACTCATATGTTGCTGTGTATACGCGGGGTTGGTGATCTTGGTAGACAACAAGCGACATACTTAGATAGTGGGTTTGCACTCAACCCAATTGCCATTTGGATTGTCTTAATTTTGGCTCGACAACCTGGCTACATGTATATTTAAATATTTATTATTTATATATGCACATCTGATTTCTAATGTCGCTGCCCTTGGCTTCTTGTATATACAAGGTGTAGAATCAACCCGGCTTCCAGTGGTTGAGCTGTGGTGTCAAGACCATGTCCGTGCAGTTTCAGTCCCAGAACTTTCAGCACATCTTGCGCATCTTGGGCCAAACCGCTTTTGTGGAACTGCTTTCACAAACTATTTCAGTATTCACATGCTCAGCTCAGGTATGTGCAACACCAACGTGGATGGCCGCCAGAAGGTCATGTTTGCACTTACAGCCATCCGTGGTATTGGTCGACGAATCTCAAACATCGTATCTGAGCAGAGAGGGAACCTGTTTAATTCGTTTTTCTTGGGGTTGCCCTTTCTGTTGGGGTGAGACAAACATTTGGACTGCATCAGAGGTGTGCAAGAAGTGCGACATTGACTTGAACAAGCGTGCGGGAGAGCTCACCACCGATGAGGTGAACAAGATTGTGGCAGTTGTAAGCAAACCCTTGGAGTTCAAGATCCCAGCATGGATGCTGAACAGGCAGCGTGACGTCAAGGATGGCAAGACGTCCCAGAAGTATGCCAACTTCCTGGATCAGGCCCTCCGAGAGGAGCCTTGTCCATGCTAATGCTTGCAATGCCAATACTTTTGTACACTCTATAGATTTGTGCCTTTCTGGCACACGTTCTTTGACATTGAGTGTTTGCACACTGTGTTGCAAATCTGAAGCTTTCCATTGTGCCACTGTCCAAGGACATTGAGCGAATGAAGCGCGTCCGCCTTCACAGGGGTCTTCGTCACTACTGGGGC